CAGGGAGCCGTCCGCTGCCCCGCTCCGAGAAGAGGCTCCGAGAGGCTTTCGCTGGGCCGGGATCGTGGGGCTCGGGCGCCAGGAGCTGCTTGAACACGGGGCTGACGGCGCACAGCAGCGCCCCGTGTGCCCGAGCCAGCTCCCGGCCGGAGAGCTCGGCGCAGAACAGCACGTCCGCACACTGCCCGCTGTCCAGCAGCCGCAGCCAGTCGGAGGACCAGCTGGACTTCTCCACCTCCAGCGCGGCCAGCTTGGCTGGGGGGACAGCAGCACACGCCCGCTCGGCTCAGACAGGGGCGGAGAGCGGAGGGCGAGCCGACAGCTCTTCGACAGGATCCCTGACTGCCTGCTCCTCTGCCTTCAAGACACCTGGGCTCCTCCCTCAGCTAGCAACACACCTGATGAGTAAGATGAGCCGAGCGGCCTGCTCCCGCTTGGCAACCTTTCCTGAACTCTCCTTCATTATTAGTGGCCGTTCAAAACAGCAGTTGGCCTTTTTCTATAGCTGCTGATCTGCTCTCTTAGTTACTGTACCCCACAGCTGCACTCAGACAGACAGGACCTGTGTACCAGGTGGGTAACTGTGGCTTGGATGAGACTGGGTGAGGGTGATAAGACCACCTCAATGAACATCTGAGAAGACAAGAGTTGTGGAGCCCAGGAAATTTGACTGCTTCTTATGGCTTCTTTCAGGACTCAGCTGGCTGATCCTCAGATTGCTAAACTACTAATAAGCAAATGACCTTCTCTTATTTGTCATCATTCTTATGTACATATGAAGACACACCTTGAGGCAATGCCCTTAACTGAAAGAGACAGATAGAAAACTGGAAATGAAGGCAAAAAAGATTGAAAATAGTCACCCTGTTAATACCTTACTTTATCAAAACATTTGGTTTTGTTACCCAGAGACACGGAGACAGGCTAGGGGTCTGCTGGAGACCTGGCTCAGAAACAGATGCCCGTCTCCTGCTCGAAGGAGGAGGTGCTCAGGGGTGAAGGCCGAACAGGAGCAGCTGTCTGGCGCTGCTGTGCCTGGGGTAGCCACTAGGGGGCGGTGTCTCAGTACTGGACCCACCTGGCTGCTCCAGCAGTGGTGGCCTGGGTCTTCGAGCTCTGGGGCTCTTCTTCCTGGTGCTCTCTGAGGATTTCTGCTTCAGACACTGAATGATGAAGTACTCCAGCTGCACACACACACAGAGCAACACTTCAGAGGACAGGCCACACCCTGGATCTGTTCCAGCTGCTGTGAGTTCAGCTCTGGGCTGTGCCAGTTATGGGTATATGACATTGCTGGCTAATTAATTTGTATTTAAAATACTAATGTATTAAAGATCATAGTTTGTCTCAAGCGATCAACAGCCTGAGTCCTTGGATTCACGTGCATGAGAGGCTCGTGATCTGGCTCTGCTTTGCTGACCGAGTGTCTGTTAGAGCGAGTTATCAGTTACCAGCATTATTAGTTTTACTTTATGCAGGTCTTTTATGTGTGGGTGAGCTCTGTTCTATAGAGTTTCACGAATTTCTTTTGTTTTTCATTTCATTCATTTTTTTCCCCCTTTCCAATAAAATAAACAGTAAGGTCACAATTCCGACCCTCTCGTCCAGACGAGACAGCGGAGCAGCGTCTCACCACTCCCCCGAAGTAGTTTCCCGCGGAGACGTCGCTGAGCGAGTGCAGCTCGAGGTAGGTGGCCCCCAGCTCTCTGGAGAGCTCCAGCCCCTCGCAGGTGGGGACGCAGCTGCCTTTGTCCGAGGTGCAGAGCGGGCAGGTGCAGGGCGGGCTTTCATCTGAGGAAGACACAGGGGAGGAGTGACGTGGCAGCGTGACGCAGTGCGGGCCTGCAGAGCTCCTGAGCCCACGCTCTCACGAGCGCTGACAATTTCCTCCCTTGGAAAGCTCACGCGTGGTGGCTGTTGGTGCTGTAGAGAACTCGTGAACGGACAAGATGTTGAAAGTGTCACCCAGTGTCACCCCTGCACATCAGATTGCAGAATCCCACACAAAAGGCAAGGAGTATCCCACACTGTGAGAGCAGCACCGCGGGGCAGGAGACAGGTGGAGCCAGGCACGCTGAAGGAGTCTTTCTGAGAGGCTTTGCCCCAGAAGGGCACCATCCTGCTGGGGATTTCACTTCCGCTTTGAGCATTTTCACCTTCAGAACACTTGTCGAGGTGTGAACTACATCTGCACATCGGGGGAAGGCTGCAAGCTTGCCTGTCAAGTGCTGGAGCCAATAGCACAGCTCTGGGGTGGCCATCCACCTGTGCCCAGTGTGCATGATGCGTGCCCATCAGAGCAGCCCAGTGCCAGCCTGTTTTCAGGTGTTCCTGCCAGCTCGGCACTTAACGAGCTCGATCACCTCATTACTGGCTTATCGGCACCAATTTACCAGCTTCTCCCCGCCTTCCAAGTGCCGCCGCTGCCTCGAAGAGACCTGGAAACCCTGCAGCCACCCTGACCGGCCCTCCGGGAGCAGGGCTGCCCACCCCCGGCCAGACCCCGCGAGGCGCCGCGGGACAGATGGCCTCTGACAGTGTGTCAGGCTGATCAGGCTCCGGATGTGGCAGCGCAGTATTCGATTACACACTGGGCACCTTCCCACTGGCAGGGGAAGGTAACTGCAGGTCTCTCCCACGGGCGTGCGGCCAGCTGTCAAGACACTGAGTCACATGTGGTGTGATGTTTCAGTCACGTCCAGACTCTGGAAATGTAACACCTTGTGCATTAGGAAGACACGGGCTGTTTAGAAGGATTTAGCATTAACTTTTGGTCATGTTTGCAGTTGCAGAACAATCAAACTGGCAAAGTTTTTCCTGAAGGATGTTTCTTTCTTTACGGGCGACTGAAGTGCACTTCCTGTGTGGAGCTGTCGCTCGAGCACTGTGCCTGGCTGTGCCTGAGTGGATCACCCAGCCCTGAGGGATCTGTCCGCTGTAGCTCCGAGACAGCAGCTTGCGGAGCCTGCCTCTACACACTCGCTGAGGCGTGCGGCTTGGCTGGAGCGCTGTGGCGAGAGCACACCCCCGGCTGTCCTGCTGCAGCTTGGCGCTGAAACGCTCACAGCCAGCGGAGGGACAGAGGGATCCAGCGAGGACAGGCTGGCCGGGCGCGGAGATCAACGGCACCGCGAGGGGGGCGGGAGAGAGAGACCGCCACTGTCCCGCTGGGAACAGGGCTGGGCGAGTCAGTGTGGGAGTGGGAGGAGCCACAGCGAGCACTGGTAAGAGTCCACGGCCCGACTGAGGGGGCAGAGGCACTGGTGTGACACTGGTGTGATGCTGGCGAAAAAAACACAAACAGGGCACAGCCAAAAGAAAACTGTGCGGCTTTGCACAGCAGCGTCCAGGCTGGACTGTCCCTATTTAACAGGGTCCAGCCTGGGGAAGAATAACTGTCTGGGACAGAGGCGTCCAGACTGGACTTACCCTATCTAACGGAGTGTGGGGCCACAACAAAATAATCCCAGCTCATCCCGGTGGAGATACACGGCGGGACAGGAGAAGAGAAAAAATAAAATGCAGCAAAAACGCGGCTTCAGCGCTCTCATCACAACCCCTCCGGGACTGTCGGTGGAAGGTTCTCCCCTTGCGGGGGTCCGCTCGTCCATCTGGGAGGGGTGCTCAGCGTGTCTTAACGGCCCCCGCAACTGCGGCTCGTCCTTAATCAGCCGGTTGCTAAGGCAACATGTCGCCCTTAACCCAGTGCTCCGCCTCCACACTGAGCAGGCCCCCGCGTGCTGCCACAGAGCGCGAGAGAGCTTTCACAGAGCCCCGGGATACTGGGCTTGATGGCTGATCATGTGCCAGGGGTCCGAGTCGAGCTCTGACCCGCGGGTGTCTCCCTCCATCTGCGCTGCCCAGGCCGAAACCCTGGCGACTCTCACTCCCTGCCCTCGTTTGGTCCTGAGCAGCACCAGGACAGAGCATCTTCTCAGAGACCTGCAAGGCATTCCGAAGAAGCTAGAGCACAGGTACCTGGGGACCAGACACAGGAGCAGCATTCCCCCCCAGAGGGAGAGAA